AAACATGGCACATTTTTGAACTTAAGGAACAATGCTCACTTTTAAGAACTACTTCCACACTCACTTCACTCTTTAGCAAAACCATACACAAATCACTCATATGGAACCTCGTTTAAGCTCAAATGATATGAATGGAGCTTCCAAACACAAGGGTGACTCGATAATGGTGTAGACACGAAGAAAGTAGGGTAATTCTATCTAAATCAATCAAGCTCAAGTAGCGTGAGCTACCTAACACTAGAATGACCCTTAGACACACGTCTCAAAAGGGTTGACTAAGGGATAATATGATCTGGTCGTTCAACTTTTGGGTCGTGGGCTAAACCTATGCATCCATCTTCCCCGCTAGCAACAACGTGAATGCTACACATCATGTAAAGGGGGAACTATCACACAAGAACGAAAAGAACGACACAAGTCTCACATGGCTACCTAGGTGCTAAATCATTCGTTCTCACTCCCTAAACTTAATGAATAGGCAACTGTGAAAAGCGAGTAATCGATTCAAAACATCTATCGGTTCACAAGCACATGAGAAATGAACCTATGCATTGATTCGGGCCTAATTGTACATGTTTTGCCCCCATTTTACTTAGGTGTTTTTGCCAATTTCACTCCTAAAAGGTTGGTTTTACGCTAGGTTCCTCATGTTTTAGTGTGTTTCAGGATTCAACAGGTGAAACCAGCCTCGGAGTCGAAATTTGGGCGAAAAAGATCGAAAACCAAGAGAAGAAGTGAAAAAGGGCTAGTTCACGGCTTTCCTAGGAAGTTCACAGTCATGTAATACCGTGAAGAGGAGCCCTTGACCGTGAATCGCGAGGCGTCCAGAGCCAAAATGAAGGTTACTGAGGCATGGTGAGTTCACGGTCCATAAGACCGTGAAGAAAGGCAGTTGACCGTGAACAGAAGTGAAAGATGCGGCGCGTTTTGGCACATGCCTGAAGTTCACGGACGCGTTTCGTGGTTCACGATCGTGAACTCAGGCCGTGAACTCAGCTCGTCTCTGGTTTAAATGATGAGTTGAAAGGAGGGAAGTAGGGAGGAGCCCATTTGGTGTGAAAAGCCTTCTTCAACATTCTAGAGAGAGAAACACGAACCAAAGGGAGAAGAAGGCTAGGATTTAGCTTCAAGGCAGATTTTGGGAAGATTTCCTCCAAGGAAAGCTCAATTCAAGGTTCAAGAAGACTGGGAGCATCCTCCAAGATGGTTTCCACCTCTTTCCCTTTTGTTTTCCCCACTTCTAGCATGGAGTAGATGATAGACGATTAATTGCACATGTTTATGCTTTCATTCTTGATCCGTTTGAGGGACGTTTCTCGTGTTTTAAGACGATTTCACACTAGGTTGAGCGTTAAAGTCATATTTCAGGACTTGGCATGGAAACAAGTTTCGGGTAAAAAAGGAGGACGTTGGAGTGAAGGGGCACTGGAAGAAGAAAATACCCGGTCTGGAGTTAAAATACCCGAGCGGGTAAAATGCAAGAGGAGGCTGGGGATTTCACGCTTTGGACGCCAGAATTCCAAACGGGGTCCCGGCCGGATAGCTAAAATATCCGATTGGATATTCTGAACCTCGATCAGGTATTTCCCCTTCCCCACTGCGCTGTCTTTCAAAATACCCGGGCGGGCAGCTGCAATACCCGACCAGGTATTATGACCGGGGATCACGATCTGACCCCTTTTGAGGGAAAGATGGCCAATTTTACAAGGGTTCCGAGTTTTAGAGAATGAAAGTAGATACCTAAAGAGAGAGAGAGAGGGACGAACCAGAATCTCCAAGCGTTCTAAATCGATCTTCATCACCATTGGAGTTAGGCTTATGCTTGGAGAAGTGTCGATTGATTGCTAGAAGCAGAATCTCATCCTTCACAGCATGTTTCCGCATCTGAGCTAGATTTCCCTTCTCTCTATATGGAGTAAACTCTCTCACTCACCTGGGTATGAAGAACCCTAGATTTGTATGTTAGGTCCGATTGTACGAACCCAAGTACGAATTCATTGATATTGATTATTGATTATATTCAATTGAGGTTTGATTTCCTGAATGGCATGAATCCTGATCAAAATCCTGTTATTTCTGCTTTGACATAGAAAGAGAATATCTGCCTAGGTTGATAGAGCACCCTTGATTGAAGGTAGTGAATTGACGACTTTAGTCGAGGAGTCAATTCACTATTTTGTTCCGGATTTACCCCAGTAGAGGAGGTTTGGTTCGTTAGGGCCTCAATCTGTTTACTTTGGTGAAGGTTAGTCGCCCGCTGGGGACTCAGATTGAGAGGGTCTGGAGACTTTTAGTAGAGACTGGAGACTGTCTAAGAACCTCCCGCGGTATAACTATCATTGAACTTGAACTTGGTGTGAATTACAACCTGGCTTAACTACAGTCTAGGGGGAACCATATCTGGGTGACTTCTCTCAACTTTGAACACAACTTTCACTGCTTTTTCTTGCTAGTTTAGTTAGACCTTCACTACACTTGAACTGCTAAATAATAAGATTTTCACGGAGTAGTCATCACACCTAGGACCCGGGTTGACATTTAGAACTAAACCCGCTATACTACGCATTAGTAGGTGGTTACAGTTGACCACTTTCTAGTTTGATGGTAGAGGCGTGTCAAGTTTTTGGCGCCGTTGCCAGGGACGACTAGGTTGTTAAAGAAACGTGATTTCTGTTACTTTAGCATTTCTTTTCCGCATTGACTGTTTGCTTTGTCCCACTTGTGCCTTCACGGGTTTCCTTGCTTGGCTGTGTGCAGGTAGTGCATGACCCGCATCCAGTCGGGAGGTTTACTACCGTTTGATCCGAAGCTAGAATGCACCTGTCGCCAGCTACGGAGACAACAACGAGCAAAACTGGCTACGGAGGAAGTGCTCCTCGACGACCATGTGAGCAGCGAATCCGAAGAGGAATACGAGATGGGCGACGAGCACAACAGGGGTAACCTTAACCTAGGGCAGAATCAACCCCCAAGGGATGCCCATGCAGGTCACCCCAGTGAATCAAATCCTGGTGAACAACCCAGTTCCCCTAGGTAGATGGGGCTCAGCATCCACCACCCTCGCCGGGCCCTACTATGGAGTACTACTACACTCCACGGGTCACCGACATCCGCCCTGTCATCCTGTATCTGCCCATCCTAGCAAATAACTTTGAGATCAAGCCATGCTGGATTCAACTGATCACATCCTTTATCCAGTTCCATGGCTTGAAGGATGAAGAGGCGAGGGTGCACCTTTCCCGGTTTCTGCAGCTGACAAATGGGTTCAAAATGAATGGCGTACTTGATGATGCGATCCGTCTCCACCTTTTCCCCTATTCTCTGGCGGGGCATGCGAAGATGTGGTTAGAGATCCAGCCCCCACTGTCCATCACGTCATGGGACGACTTGGCCGACAAGTTTGTGCACAGATACTATCCGACCTCGAAGACCAAGAAGATTTAGCGGGAGATCACTCATTTTTGCCAAGAGCCAGATGAATCACTACGTGATGCCTGGGAGCGGTACTCGGGATTCTTCTGGCAGTGTCCCCATCACGGTTTCAGTGATGCATTCACAGTGGGGAATTTCTACAGTGCTATAACCCCATAGAGCTAGATGGTGATCGAGTCCAATGGTCTTATTCCTGGCAGAGGGTTGGCCGGTCCTTCAGTTGCACAATGTCAGTGGTGTGAGAGTCTGAACCATCTTGTGGAAGACTGCTAGGCTATGCTGGAGTCTTCTACACCCAAGGAGCAATTGGACTTCATCGCCAATGCTCGACGCCTTGATCCTTACAGTGGAACATATAATAAAGGGTGGCGCCAGCATCCCAACTTCTATTGGAATAGCAATAACAACAACACCACTAAACTACCTGGTTTCCCAGCACTGGCCGGTGGTTTTCAACAGAGGTAGCCCTCCAGGCTCGACAGGGTCCAATTCCACAGCAGCAGCCTTACCCGCCCAAACAGGGGCAACCATTTCTGTAGTCGCAATGCCAGTATGCCCGGCTACCAGCATCTCTAGCTCCATATACCAGATGACGGAGCTGAAAAACATTTTGCAGGCATCCATGACTACCAGCCAGGCAAATTTCGCCAGGATGGACCAGAACATAACCTCACTAGAGGCAGGCCAGAGGAACCAAGGTGCCATATTGCAGGATCTCCAGAATCAGATTGGTGGCATAGCTCGCCAAAATAACACCAGAGCACTGGGGACTCTGCCTGCCACCACCATTCCAAATCCTCGCGAGCCTCACCATCATCTGGATGCCATCACCACCAGGAGTGGCAAGACAACATCTCCTATCCCTGCCCCGACCAGGCAGAAGAGCCACTACATGTTTTAGCACTTGGAACTGGATTGGAACTTCTCAGGTACGGGGTTCCGTCTAGGGGAAAACTGAGCTTTAGTTGTATACATAGGAAAAGCCATGTGCAATGAAAACTGCAAGCACGGTTTGGGGAGGGTTTTTTTCTTTTATCTGTTTTTTTAGGAAAGAAATTTTCTACTCCATCCGACTAGTTTCGGGTTTGAGTCCCGGGCAACCCATTAGAACTATTTATACCTATTTTACTATCATATTGATATTCTATGATATAGGATTTTATACGTGTAGAAAAAAGACAGGAAATCATAAAGCTATCTCTCCTAAAGATATAGGGGGGTTGATATGGTTGACACGGGTATATAAGTCATGTTATACTGTTGAATAACAAGCCCTATATCTATGATTTCTATGTAAATAGAATAATGTGCTTGGGAGTCCCTGATGATTAAATAAACCAAGATTTTAACCATGACTGCAATTTTAGAGAGACGCGAAAGCGAAAGCCTGTGGGGTCGCTTCTGTAACTGGATAACCAGCACCGAAAACCGCCTTTACATTGGATGGTTTGGTGTTTTGATGATCCCTACTTTATTGACCGCAACTTCTGTATTTATTATAGCTTTCATTGCAGCCCCTCCAGTAGATATTGATGGTATTTGTGAACCTGTTTCTGGATCTCTACTTT